CTCGCCGCTTGCTGCGCCGCAGGCCCCTCCTGAAGGCCCGCGACGAGTCCCGGCCGGTCTGGGGCCGCGCTTCCGTTGTCCGGATTAACGGGCAGTACGGGGCTCTACCCGAGGTCCAGACCAGCTGAAAGAAAACGGGCTTTTGGTGTTAGGATTATTTTTTTTTTAATTATTCTGTATGTATGTATGCCTTTACAGATGTCCTTGGAAGTTGTTTAACTTCCCTTCCCCCGTCGATGTACTTCTCTGATGTGAAAACGGCTTTGCTAATCTAGTGAACGTTAGTAGCTGATCTTGTAGCTGCTATGCAGTTGTTGGCGTGCTCAGGAGCTGCTGTTCAGCGCTGCTGTCTGCTCTTCGTCTGAAAAGACACAGAATAGCTTTATCGCCAAGTATCATCTAATAGCGGGATTGTGCATGCATACTGAAAATACAAAGTTTAATTTTGATCTTACATGACTAAGAGTTGGCTGTTTCCAGAAGCACGTGTTCTAATGCAGTAAAATATGTGCTCTTGCAGTTACCTCTTTTTGTGAAGAAAATGGTAAACAAAACAGTGTGTGTAATCCGGCAGGTTTTACTGTTAGGCTGTATAGACGGTTTCTAGCTGGGAACAGCTTTATGTGACTTACTGTCTTTTAGCAAAATCTGCACCCAAAAGACTTCAAGAACAGGACTTGTACAGCTCTTCTCTGTCTTTTCATTAATCCTTTCAGCTGTAAACATACAAATGCAGCACCCAGCGTGACTTGGGGGCTGGGCAGCTGCTTAGGGTGTCTACCATTTGGAGGAGTATTTATAGTAGCTGAATTAAAAAGTAAAGAATTTGAGGCAGACACAGTGAGATTTTTTTTTCCCCCTTGAGTTATGCTTGCTTGACAACCCCATTTTTCTTTTTTAAATAATATAAGTGCAGTAAACCAATCTTGTTATCAAATTGAATTGGCTTTTAAGGGAAAAGCTTATGCCTTTTTCCATTACCTACCAGAATTAGCTTTAGTCGTCTTTGGGCAGAAGAGGTATTTTGATTATTCTATGAATATGTAATACGTTCTGCGCCCAGAAAAATAAGGAATGTAACATGATACAAGTTACAGCTCTAGTAGAGCTCTAATAATATTAGTCTAATCAGATGAGAGAGAGAAGTATATGAATAAGAAGATTCTAAGCATCTCTCTGCAGCTCCTGTGATATAGTATATGCCTGCTCTGTTTTTTCTGAAGCTGTTTGGGGGATGCTCATTTGAGATCTGAAATGCTGTCCAAAAGATAATACTGTCCTGAAAGAGATTGTGGTAATGGTTGCCTGAGTCTAATACGGAGGTATGTGAAAAGCCTGGCGATCCTTGTATTTTTGCAATAGCTTTGTGTCTTCTGATTTGTATTTTTTATTTTATAATTATAACTTCCACTGCAAACCTTTCATACCAGGTACTGGTTTGTACTGCGCTCATCCAGTCTCATTAATGTATGTATAATGGTCTGACAAGAAAGCTTGTTTCAGCTGAAAGTTTTTCAGAGTGATGACTAAAGGAAGATCCTTCGTCTGGAGGAGAGGTCATCGAAATACAAACTTCTGTGAAAACTGGGTGATGAGTTTGCATACTGCCATTGTGAGCTTTTGGGGTTGAGAGTTCTTATCTGTAATAGCTGACTGCAGTCAGCATTTTCACTGTGATGAGAGTTAAATGTCTTTGCATTCACGTTTCAGTCACTTATGTTGACTCTTTCAAGTTCACTAAAGGGAATTCAAAGCTCAGTGTGAATTGTGAAGTTCACTTTCCCACTACAGTGGAGAAATAGGCTTTGTCCGTATTTTTGCCCATCTGGTGTGGTACTTGTGGAACGACTTGGGGAAGAGTTGTGCTCTGATGCTTCATACCTTTAGATTGCTGCTTAGCACGCTAGTTTATCTATAGATTCATAGCTGTGTTGCTGCTTAGCAGCTCTTGTCCACAAAAATCTCCTCCCCCTTTTTTTTTTTCCCCCTGTATGTACTGAATAAGCAACAAACTCAAATCAAAACTTGATTTTATTTCTTTTCTCATGAAAACACAAAGTGATACTGGAAAACTTCAGGAGAGAATTATTATCTAGTTACTGTTGCAGAGAGGCTTCTTTAGGTTATCTATACAAGTAGTAACCTATTTGTAATCACCATTTTGTAAACACTGTTTTAAGAAGTCCAGGGAATGGCTCTGCAGTTATTTTACGTGCTATGCCAGGGTGCATATAGCCTGTATGAAACAGGCATGCAGCATCTGTACATATAATTGAGAAGTTTGTTTATTTTTATACAAAGCTAAAGGTGCTTCAGGAATTGCTAGTCCTTGACTTACCTTTGGGAACAAAAATTATCAGGAAATTCTAATTTCCCCCCCCCACCTACACCCTATTGCTCCTCTGAAGGCAAACACTTACTAGTTAAGTGAGACAGCACCCATTTGAAGTTATTGATAGGAGGACTAAAACTTGCATTAAATGATCTCTGAAGGCAAACACTTAATTAGTAAGTGAGACAGCACCCATATTGATAGGAGGACTAAAACTTGCATTAAATGATGCTGTTATTCATCAAAATGAAGTTGCTGTTTTAATTGTACAAAATGGGACCTTTCCTGAAATGTCTTTGTCTCAGGAGTTTAAAATTGGAAATACTGTATCACTAGCTTGGAGGTAGAGTTTCTTGGAAAACAAAAGTGAAAATGGTGACGCTTAGTGTGTGTCTTTTTCCTTTCTCCAGTATGAAGTGGAACAGAACAGAATTTACCACCTGAAACTGCTGCTTCAAGTTCAGATCAGGAAAAGAATATACCACATAGTAACAACAACTCAAGACCAAAGAAGAGGAAACTTACACTGAAGATACAAGGCTTGATCTGAAACAAGAAGTTTGTGCCTACTCAACAGCTTCAAAAGAGCACGTCCCAACGCTGCTAGTAGTCTTTGTTTTCTCCAGTGCTGTATTGAAACTGCCCAGGGCAGCAGCACTTGTATTCTCTACTAGCTTGATAGATCACGTTCTCTTGCTATCTTTTTTCTCTCTCTTTCTCTCTCTCTTTTTTAAAAAATAATAGCAGTCTTCATCCTTAGAAACTTGTGCTGAAACAGAAGAATCGGCCAATACTACTGAAAGTGCAATATTTGAATATCACTGCGAGGTTGGTGCATGTGTTATA